GGGTGTGATGCACAATACAAACAAATGTTCCCAAGAACTTTTATAGCACATTAAATTTTTGCTCTTACCTTGAGCTCTTAAAAACCACTCCTGCCAAATTCTGTTGTTCTTTTTTCATAGCGCTACAATTCAAGGGTCACAGAATATTGTCAGGGCACTCTGATTGTCTTTGTACTTCTCACCCTTTGTTGCTGCTAATGATCCAGAAATGAAGGCCTATTTTGGCCCTACTTCTCTGTGGAGGAGAGTGGTAGCTAAGTGCCAAAAAATGTTGAATATAAATGTAAAACCAAGGGTGTAAAAAGGTCACTTTCTTATCTACTTCCACGAACATTATCAGGTTTCCTCAAGTGCTCAGTCATTAATTTTAGACTAGTGTCGTGCCCTTTAATTGGTTAGATTATCAACCTTAATGCCAGCACCCAAGCTTGTTTCAGGTCTAATTTTATTTGTGTTCTACAAAGATCTAATCTGTAAATCATTAGTGTTACTGGGTGAAGAAACAAAGATATACAGTATTTGAGAAAAATATAAAAGTATGACATAGCAATCAGCCAGTTTTGACATATAGTTAAATAGTTGAGGATGAAAACACAATTATGTTAATAAAAATAGGTGTGCATTCTCACATCTTTGGAGCACAGACAGACAGCAGTGAGAAGCAGGAGGAAAGGTTTGCTTATGTATTCACACCTTTAGACATTCAACAGTAACAGTATGCTAACCCTTCTATGGCCTATTTATTTTTATCATATCTACTTTTGTTGTTACTGTGTAGTCTTATTGCTTAACTCACCATTGTTCTTACCTGAGCAAATGTTACATTCCAGTTTTGATGAGACTAACAAGGTGAAAATGTAAGTATCTTTGTTGCTGAAGTTAGAAGCTGGCTTTTGATAATTTCAGTTTACTTTTAAGATGTTTTCAGTGAAGGGGAAGAGAGACAATAAATGCATTTTGTGAAAGTGAGGCCGTTAAATACAGCCACCAATTCATCGTTTTAAATAATAAAATTCTCCACACCATCTTCTTCTCCAGTGATCACCTCATATCCCACTGCACAGTTCACCATCAGATCTAATCTGTGATTCAACATGACATTTAACTTTTGCATGACCCCCCCTCCCCCATATCACAGTGGGACACTTCATTTCACTGGCAGGAGAGATGTAGTGAAATGTTCCACTAGAAGCAGTTTGAACCAAACATGACCTGAGCATATGGCAATGGAGCCCTGAGCGGCCACATACAGGCATGAAACGGCATTGTTGGGAAGTGTGTCACCAAGCACAGCACTCTGCAGGACTACCCGCTTACTGCCTGCTTTGGTCCAACAGATAGACTGTCAAAGCTCTTCAGAGCTCTTTTGTGTGATGTCAGTTCTTTTTAAAGGCTGAAAGGTCCATCAAAGCATATTTTTCAGTCTGGCAGCCATCTACAGTACTGACACTGCTCTTTTTCAGGTCAAATTATGTCTATTTGGTCAACAGAAATTAAATTAACAGTAAAAACGGCTCCTTATGGCAGTGAAAAATTACTTACAGCAGAGCTATAGACACGCATGAGGTTCTCTTTGTCATTATAGTAAAAGGGGTGAAGTCTTCCTCTTGTGCTTCCAACAGAAACCTTTCACAAACAGGAATAATGCAAATTCTAGCATTTTAGTGCCAAAGTTAAACAAAGATATATTTCTCAACATCTTTTCTCTTCACCACTGTTTTGTAAATATTTAGAGATTAAGGTACAGGCAGTGGCTCTGCCCTTCAGTGACACTATTAAGCACATAATGTCTGCAGTTCTGAAAGGGGGCAACTGTGGTTCAGTGGGGAGTGCAGAGGGTCGGAGGTTCGAATTTCAATGTCTGCCATTAAAGTGTCCTTGGGCAAGACACTGAACCGTTGCCCCTGATGGTTAGAGCCATCGGTTGAGTTGGCACTGCAGATGGCTGTCTCGGTTCTGAAACAAATTCCTTGTGTGTCACATACCTGGCCAAATAAAGGTGGTTATCCTGAAGTACAGGGAAACTGAGACATTTTGTTTCATCCAGTCATAAATAACTACAGTGAACATGCCACTTCCAGTTAAGCAAATGAGCTTTACTGGAAAAGATGATCAGATAAATTATTTTTACATTAGAGCTTCAACTCAAAAGGCTTTTATGAAGTAATCATTAGAACATTACATCTGTATTACACAGCAGTACCCTTAAAACTCTGTGTAGTATACATTTAAAAGAGGTTTGCAAATGATTACTTTGAAAAACATCTTTTGTCCAAAGTAATTTTGTTAGGCTGACCTCTTCTCTTTCACCCTTATGCTGTTCACTCCTCATATCACTGTTCTCTTCCTCCACCACTGCCTTCTCTATCTCTCACCCCTCCAACTCCTCCTGCCTTGTCCTCCAATGCAGGATGATAGCTTTTATGACTACCTCGTGAATCACAGGCGTGCGGAGGGTGAGGATCAGGTGGGGGGAAGGGGGATGTAATGGGGCTGGTCAGCTGTAGATCTTTCGCCCGGGGTGGGGGGATGGGGGCTACTAGGGAAGAGGTGGGTGGTGTCACAGGACTGTCACCTGTTAATGAACGACCTCCCGATACAGGCTTGTCATCTCACAGGAAGAGTTAGTGCCCTTGCCTGGACTGACAGCAGAGGAGGCAGTTTGTCTCATGTCGAGCAGGGGCTCTCTGAACACAGGCACTAAAAGAGCATTAGGGACAGTGCTGGGTGGGTTGAACAGAAAGACGGCTTCTCATAAAATAGGAAAATGGATTAGCTCTGTCAAACCTCAAAGATTTCAAATGTAGAAATGATTGCTTCATACTTTTTATGAAAAATGCTTTCTTGATTTGTTATTCTTAAAAGTTTACCAGCCTTGTGTGCTTCTTGTTACGCTACTGTCACACACCCAGACAGCAGCTTGACAAGCATGAGATTTGGAGGACATCTGAGATTATGGAAATGATGCCCCCTCTGCACTTTTTTAACTCATGTATAGCCATGCTGGTGGTGTGACTCTAGAGAAGTTGGTGCTGGTCTGTTGGTTAGTCAGTATCTCAGCAGCTGCTGGATGCATCGCCATGAAGTTTGCCACATACTGTATATCCATATTGCCCAGAGGATGAATTTTCATGACTTCGGTGTTGCTGTTACTTTCCCTCTATTTATCTTGTGCCATCATTAGGTCAGAAGTGAATGTGCATGTTACATACAGTCAGGTGTAGGAAGAGCTCCATCATCAGGAGTCGTCTTGTCCCATGCACACAACTCTCAAACAGCTGGCTGGTCTGAGCCTTGGCCAGACCACAGTGACTTGTACAAACCACTGGCTCTGTGAGACTGTAGGTGTGTAAACCCTGTAGTCTTGACTCTTCATGTGTTTCCAGCTGACCTTTTCTTTGTTTTATTATTAGGCACAGTGTACAGTGTGTGTCTTCAGTTATGTGTATGCCTGAACAAAACTGTGGTATGATATTTTAAGGACTGAAGTGGCACAACAGCAAAACCCAGTATCTTGTCAGGGTGGCTTGAGGAAAGCCAGATAATTAGGTAATGGATAATCAAGGAAATTACACATACAAATAGAACTGTTACAGAAAATTATATGCTTTTTTAGTATATTGCTATATTCTGTATTATGTAAGAAAACCTTTTAATCTTTTCAATTGTGTAATACTGTATTGCTGCTGATTTCAGCATCAAAGCATGCTGACAGTGTGATCCACATTATTTGAATAAAGCACAGCCTGTCTGTTTTTACCCACCATCCATGAATGTAAAACACCCCCTGATAAATTGTCCATTGTGACAGGAACACGATTACATGAAGCCGCGGCTGTAGGCCACTGAGCGGGCAGACAGAGTGCCATGTCACCTCTAAGGGGACTTTGAATAAATGTCCCCATCTCTACCAAGGCCCACTTCCTTAATCAGGGTGTCGCATGGTAATGATTAGCTTCCTGTGTGTGCTTCTCAGCCACTGAATCGCCTGCATAACTCATACACTGTTAATATTCTGCCTAGGGAGGTAATACCCCTCTTTACCTTCAAATAATCCAGCCCTAATCTAAACTACATTGTTACTTCCCTATATTAAATTTAATTTATTATGAGTACTAGCATCTGTCAACTGTAATCTACAATCTGTTTGTGCTTCATGTTCAAGGAGAAGGGGAATGCAAGGTAATTGTATCTAAATCCCTCAGCTATGTTAGATAATACAGTCAGCTGGTGTCCCAAAGAGAAAGAGACATTGGTGCTGGGTATTGTTTCTCTTCTGCTTTGGGTCATGGGATGGAAGGATGGGGGATTACTGCAGCATCATTTCATTTTATGTCCATATCCAAAACCTGGATTAGTAACACAGAGAGGGATTAGAATTTATTACCGTACTCCATGCGCAGGCATCTTTTAAGGGCACTGGTCCTTGAAAAGAAACATATGCTGAATAAGGACCCTGCCTTTGTCTTTGGTGTGTTGGCTCTTACTTTGATAGAAGGATACTATGTCAAGAGAGATGTGATCCCTTGTTTTCTGTGAGTCAGTTTAATGATTTCAGTTCTTAATGATAATGGTGGTACAGTATAAAAACACTTCTGAAAAGGTTCTTTGTATTCAGAAACCAATGAGATGCGAGATTTAAATACATCTAAACCCTCTCTCAGTCTATAGCATGTTCTCTCTGAAAGAAACCTTTAACCAGTCTTCATTTACTGAATTTCATGAACATTATCCCTCATTTAGGATTTGAGTAGATTTATTTATCCCCTCCAGTTTACTTTTCAGTTTTAATTAACAAACGAGTATCTTACACTGATATTCAAACTCACTGTCTATAAATCTGATTCAGTTCAGGGAACACTCTATGCATCATGGTACTCTGACACAAAGGAGCAATGGGAGTTAACCTTGAAGTATAGATTTTCTGCCATCATTTACTACATATCCATGACTATGTGCTCATTTCTTTCTTTCTGCCTCTTTGTTCCCTCCCTGTACAGAGATATTGAATGGAGGTGTTTATGTTGACCAGAACAAATTCCTGTGCCATGCAGACACGATCCACTGGCGTGACATTATCAAGAACCCCCAGGCAGAGCTGCTAGTGGTACCGTCCAACAACAGCAACCTCGGATGTGAGTACATGGGCTGATGAAAACTGCATTTTTAGGTATCTTCTGTGAAATGAGAAGCCAATCTACATGTCAAGATACTGTAGAAATACATGCAAACATACACACCAACTCCTTTCCCAACAGCAGCAATTGTGTCCTACCCTTTTTGTTCATTCTGTTTGCCTGGTGGACATAGTGTCAGATCAACGTGTGAACCTTTATATTGTAGTGGTATGGTAGTGGCTCTGCAGCGAAGCCCATGGAGCTGCTGTCTGTTGTGCTCATTTTAAATCTCAGTGAATGTGACAGCTGGTTTGAAGCTGCCCCCGATCCCTCCCATCCCTCCATGGCCCTTGCAGTCCCTCAGCTCCCTTGGCTTTGGACATAACAGGCATCACTGTCCAGCGGACATTCTGTGTCAGAAAAACTGGCTGTTAAAGACAGACTCTCAAACTTTACTGCACATTTTTCAATGAGCCTCTTGCTCATTTTAAGGGAGAGACAGGAAAAGCATTGAAGTTCCTTTGGGCGTTCTGTATCAAAACATGTAAGGGTGAACAATAGGGACAGCGGATGCTCCAGATAACGAGCAAAGACATCAACAATGGTGGAAATGTTGAGAGCTTCAATGATGAAAAGGCCTGGTGACCTTTCTTTCCTTACAGACTGAGCAAAACAACATCTGTATAGTGTTGACTCGTAACATCAGTGGGGAGTTATGTAAAACTGGTTACTCTAAAATAAAGGTTTGCGAAGACACTTGAAAGTACATTATGAGTAAAACATTGCTATTTTGTTGATTAGATGCCACTGATGTAGGAGGAGGCAGATGAAAAGCATCAAAGAACAGAGGAGGTGGGCTAAAAGATGACAAGAGAGTGTGTGGGAGTTGAGGTTGCCAAATTGGGCCCCTTTGCCTAGCCGTAGTTAGTATTTAACATTAACAGCCCCACAGTGGGGGTGGTTGAAGGGGCAGGGTGACAATCTGCTGCTCTATTCCTCTTACTCTGTAATTAACCCATAGTCAATTAAGTCTTGTTGATAGGCCACTGGCAGATGAAGCCTGTGAGCGCTCTGTCAGGTCCCCCTTTGCCTGTGCGAGTGCTTGATGGAAGGGAGTAGAAGCCTGTCTTTCGTGCTGTTGTTCTCTAAAGGCCACAAGTCCCCGCAGTCATTCTGGCTCTGTTTTTGGATGAGCAGAGGAGATTCGACAGATTGCTCAATGTCACTTGCCTGGGAAGTATTAGGGGTGTGTGCGAGGAGATGATGGTGTGTGTGTGTGAGGAGATGGTGGTGTGTGACGGGGCTGTTCCTCTATGTGTGTTTTTGTCAAAACTACATCTGAAGTTTGCTGAGGAGTTGTCTGATGCACAGCGCCTATGTGTTTGTGTGTTCTGCAGGCAGACGTTGTCATCGCTCATGTAATGGACGTTGCTGGGGCCATCAAGAAGACCAGTGTCAAACCTGTGAGTGTGCACATGCACAAACACACATACATACCCACAGTTATCCTGGAATACCACAGGCCTGCTAACAAGGATGTAACAGATTTAGGTACTGACTTAAATGAATAGTTTTACATTTAGGGAAATAAGCTAAGTTAGACTAACCACTGCTGAATCCAGCTCCATACCTAATGCATACACACGAGACTGATATCAATCTAATCATTTCATTTTCAGGAAGAACATGTTAATTATGAGCTTCTGCGCCATCATCTGACATTGAGTAAATGAGCCTGTGATACAGTATTTAGGGGTGTCCCATAGCTGAGTGGTTATGGTGCAGTGCACTATATACTTGTCAAAACTCCATCTGAAGTTTGCTGAGGAGTTGTTTGATGCACAGCGCCTATGTGTTTGTGTGTTCTGCAGGCAAGTATATAGTGCAGTGCACTATATACTTGGCAGCACACTGCATGCACTATGTCGACTGCCATCATTTGTTGCAGGTCTCCCCACTGTCTCACTTGTTTCCTGTCTGCCTCTTCATGATTCACTGTAAATAAAGGCTAAAAGCCCAAAAATATAACTCTGAACCAGTATTTAGATTATAGTGACGTCCTCAAACACATTGAAATCCAGGCTCATGAGATTCTGTTAAGTTTGTATTAGTTTGCAGTTAAATTGAGGATGCTGCCTGCTTTAAAATAATCTGTTTTAACATAGATTAGTTTTGTACCTCTGTGGGTCCTTGGGTTTCCGTGTGTTTTTAGCTTTTTCTTTCTATTTTATTGAACCCCACAATAATCAAGGTCAAGTAAAAAAAAAAAAACGTGAAAAGAAATTACTTTTCTTTAGTGAGGGGTGAGAGGAGGACTTGGTGACCAGCATAACAGAATCAAAAAATGCATATAAATAAACTAATATTTGCATACCACACACTTAGCAATTAATAAATATAATAGCATCTAAAACAACAGAGAAGAGAGGAAGGAGGGCTACTGGAGAAATGTTAATTCTCCATATAATTACAGGATGTTCTACTCATGTCATAAAGATTTAGAGAAGGATGAGCCTGTTTTTCTCAGCCTAACACAGACAGAACCTTTTTTTTCCACTGCTGCATCATTATGTTCCCAACCCAGCAGAGAGGAAGCCCAGCATTTTTTTATGCCTCAAGCTCCTGCTGGCTGGTTGGCTGGTATATCCCCTGTACCAGTAATGTGTTGGAGGCTGTTCTTTAGCACATGTATCAGACAACTTTGATGCAATGCAATAGGTACTAGCCATGTCCAAGTATAGGTACTGTACTTGTAATAGTGACTAACTGTTCAGCATTAAAATGCAGGGGAAAACATGAATTGCAGTAAATATTTCCCTGGTTACAACAAGAATTGGCATAGTAACGAATAAAGCCAGGCTTTCTGGGAATTATCAGTGCAGTTGGATGGTGTCTTTGGATAATCGCTCCACTTGGCTGAAAACAACCATTGTATAAACACTGATATGCTGAATTAGTGAGGTCCAGTGCTGTGGAACTTTTTTTTTTCAAAGTTTTTA